ACAACACAAAAAAAAGGCAAAATTACCACAAAGTCTGTTTGTCTTGCTCCTGTGTAGGGGAGGGGGGGGGCCTTTTGCATATCTGTGCCCAGGGGCCCATTGTCTCATCATCTGGCCATGACTCAATAGTGGGACTGAAAACCACCGTTAAGAAGCACAAGTGCTGTCACAGTAGTGTCTTTCTCTGACATATTTATACAGGGAGGTGAAACTCTTCTAACAATTCTACAGTTACACTAATGAACACCAGAGTTTTCAAAAAGCAATACTGTATCAAGGGAGATCCAGATATATGTCTGTTATTAGCAATAACAGCTACCTACCACCTGATGGTGCTATAACACAGTCGACATCAGACGGTCAAAGCCATTGCAGTACAGTTTGAGGCGTGAAATAGCAGTGATGTACTTCTACATCTCAGCACTGAAGAACCATGAATCACCATCCGAGAGACACAGTTTAATCTACTCAGGAATGTAGAGCGTGTCACGCTGGCAATAAATATTACACTCTCATGCATTCTATACCATATGTCGATTGATGAACCGTGACTTCAACGTTTCTCCTCAAAATAAAGAGTGAGATTACACATATTTCACTCCCGTAGCCACTGCCGCCTTGTAAATCTGCAGGAGGCTGAATATTCCCAAAAGCACTCAGGAGAAAATTGGAAGTGCCTTTATCTATTTTGCTTATAAAATATGTAACACCCTGTCCAAAGATATTAGAGTGGCTGAGGCAGCAGACGTTTTTGTTTACAAATCTTCCAGTTCCCAGCAGTCTGTTTGTTGCTTTTCATTTAATTATTGTCCAGTGATTGTTATGGAGTGCAGTATTTACTTGGTTATATTGTTAAAATGTCCTAATCACATCTTGGACAATTCCTAAATGAGTCTACTCTTGTTCTATTTAAGACAAAGATGGACACAATAAACCAAGAAGGCCTGCAGATATATCTAAATATAAAATCATGGTGGAGTTTCTGATTTCACTACACAGTTTCCTAAAATTGTTTTGCGCAGACGTCTACTTTAGGTATCAGAATGTGAACATTTTTGCTGCTTCATCATTTTCCACATTTAGCAGGGAACAGTTTGGCTCAGGAGCAGGTGGAATCAGATCTGACCCAGAACCAGTATCATTGTTTTCATCAATGATAGTGCCCGGCACCATCTGCTCCAATTCATCATTTATATTCGATGTGTGACGTCACCACTAAAATGATCTTCCTCACTATTGTCAGCAGAACTATAGTGTCCTGCTGTTAGCTTTTATACAACACAAACACTGCCTGTACATTAAACCCTTGCATACATTTAATTCCATTATTGATTTATTTATTTTAGATGTATGCATTTAAGTTATCCTTTTACTAATAAATTATGTAACGTTACATGTCCACCCATTAATACAGTCTGACTACCACACTGGTCTGTTCTGCATTGCAGCAGCATGACTGAGACCAAACCTTCACAGGTATGGATTTCTGTTGAAGACCATATATTACATAGGCTCAAATAATGAACCTAAAAGTATACATTATATAATAACACGTCAATAAGTGTGCACAGATATTATGATAAGCAAGTTTTAAATTACTTTTTGTGCATTGCCCATCAATTATTTCATAGTAAGGTTAACTTAGCTACTTTAAAACGGTAGCTTAAAAATGCTAGTTTGTGATATCTTTATTTTTAGCTAAAGCTAGCTTCTTAGAAAATAGCACAAATACCACTACCGTTTTTTCCAACTTAGCAAAATATGAAGAACTACTGTCACCCATTCTTAACTATCAAAAAAAACCCTTGGCCTAAATATGTAAGATTCATTTTAGCCAGCGTAAGTTTGTGTTTCCTATGTTAGCTAGAAATGTTAACGCTAGCTAGGTAGCGAGCAGTTAGCTTGCGTTGCTAGCGAGCACCTAGCATCAGGAGCAACGGCTTGTTCAGTTAGCAGTTAGCTAGTTAGCGCCACAAGCTAGCTACTCAGGCGAGCACGCTAACTAGCGTAAATGCTAGCTGGCTACCAAGCGTTTTTTAACTGTATTATTTTATGGTAAATATGTTGCCCCAGTCAAGCCGTATATAATGGTCCTGTCGTGTATGAGGGGACATTATCAGGTTTGTATTAATGATAAAATAGGAGAGTCACAGACGGGCTAAATGTCATCTCTAAAAACTAATTCAGTTGAAGGAGAGTAACCTAGTTATTGGCTAGTTACCAGCTAACCTAAAGATAGCTTGTGGGTCCAAATGCAGACCTCACTCCTGAATACAATAACTTTAGGTTTAAAGTTATTTACTGTCAACAGTTAAAAGAGCAATTGTTGCCATTGAAAAAAATGGGTCACAGACTCCCTCCAGTTATATTTATGAATAACAGAAATGATCATATAAAACACATTATAGACACAAAAAGAGAAACTAAATGTAAGTATATCAAGTGGTGCAAGTTAAAATGATAAAATATAACATGTACAATATGAAGTAAGTGATATAAAGCAGTAGTTGCAAATACACAAATTGTAATAGTCATATGATGTGGTAAAATGTTTGCTCATCAGGACTGTCATAAAAATGTAGGTGCAGTAGTTTGGTTAAAGAAAGGTAAAGTGACGTAATTACTTTATCATGTTTCAGATGCGTGATTTTCCATGCCAAGAAAACTGTCGTGCAAAATACAGCAACTCAAACAAATATTGAATGCTATTGTTAACAGGATTATTAGAGTGCATCAAGGTGGTCTTAGTACTAATGTGTATGCACCACCTGGATGTAAACTGCAACAGCAGTGCTATGCTAAGTAGGGATGCACAATATTGGATAACTCATTTGACCGATAACTGATACTAATATTGATGTATCTACTTTTCTCTACCTAATTTTAGTGATCATCAAGTCTCTTCTGTAGTGGAATTAACATCATGTTATGCATGTATACTCTCATAATGATGGCCCACCAGCAGATGGAGACATAAAATACAATACTTTTCAATGTGTGTAATTTTAATTTATGCAAAATTTAAGAAAGCAGTAGTTCATTTTAAAGCTGCTGTTGGCTAATACCAGTGACGTACCAATATTATCAGCATGTTGGCCGATTTGGATATTTCATTACTAAGTCTATAACAGCTGATAGCGATGACATGCAGATATTATCGTGCATCTCCCAACATGAGACCTGCATGCAACCTTACGAACAGTGGCCAAAATTGTAGACTATGGACATTATCTCCCTCACAATAATGTGCCTACTAATATTATTTCACCACTGGTTGGCAAGAATAAGCAGCATACACATTTTCCTAAAAATAACACTTTTGGGGAGAGGATTAGGTTGGATAATTGCCATATTTTCATAACAATTAGACTGCATAGCAAACAACTGAGATACATAACCTCTCCTCTGGCTAAAAGTGGGCTAACAACAAGGGCAGCACAAAGACTCACCTACACCAGACTGATCCTTTCATTATGGTTTCCTAATTTAAGTGACTGGTCATTTAAAGAACATGAGCCTGCCAAAGATCATTGGACACATTACTAAATGGACCTAAACCACAATGGGAGCATTAATTCTGCCTATATAGTCTTATGAGGTGCTCATAACCTTGAATGTACACATGCATCTCCTTGTGGGTAATTTCTATGTGGAATCTGGAATAATCAGTCTGATTATTTTGACAGCTGTTCCATAAGACCTTTCAGCTCAGGAAAAAGCGAGAGTGCAGTGAAGGCCATAGCATTATTGTGTTTATTACCTCCATCCTAATAGACCCATTAGCATCAGGCACAAGAAAATACAAAGCTGTCACTCAAATGAATGCGCAGTGAAATGTTTAACCCACACACTAACAGACAATGGTACAGATGCACACAAACACTTAAAGTTAGGCGTTACACTATTTGGCACAAAATGTCCTCAGACATACTGTCACTGTTAAGGAGAATATAACATTTTAATATTCACATTAAGCCACTCATATCATGCCTTTTGGCTTGAAATGATAAGATTTATCTGGTGCTAATCTCTCGGTAAATGTCATCTATGAATATAAAAGGTATGCAGTCTTTGTCTTGTCACATGCTGCATGTTACATTGCAACATTACTCTGCAGAAAGATGATGTTGCAGGGGCGAGAATGGAGAATAAATGAGAGAGGGAGAGTTGCAGTGCATCATCTCTCTGATGTGGAAAATTGGGCTACAGACGGCTAATACATCTTATGACTGGAATAAAAATGTAACTGTTAGGGTGACAACAAAGAGATGAGTCATGCACTATTTTCATACTTATTGCCTGATGGATGCAATTCATTTGTCAGTCACATTTTTGGTCACAATGAAAATTTTGCCATTTTAAGTTTATGCATTGAGACTGAAACTATCAGAACATGTTACAGGACTAAGTAGCATGCAGTGCAAATGATACAGAGCTTCAGATAAATAGCATTTGATGTTGCAATAGAGTATTTTGTGTAAGACAGGAAATCATTTCAGAGATTATTTTGCATTCTCAAGATTTATTTAGGTTTTACAGACATTAGTTTTAAGTGCATCAAAACATACAACAATCACAATATTTCTGCCCGTCATCTTTAAATTGTCTGCTGTTGTTCACTATCTGCTACTGAAACATCAAACAGCCATGCATGACCTCCCAATGTGATGGAAAGAGGGAAAGTGGTAGAATGAAAGGGGAGGGAGAGGACATGCAGTTTTTATGAAGCATTCATGTTGTTGATGTTTTCCCCCCCTGTCTGCTTCTGACACTAAAACATGAGGGAAGTAGGCTAGTGTGGATCTTAACGTATGGGACCATGTTTCCTTGCCACCTTAATGTCAACCTCCTATTGTCAAAAAAGTGACCAAGCTGCGCAAAGAAACATGCCGCAGAAGAAGAAGCACTCAGATATGGTGTGTTAGATAAAAGATTATATCCATTTCTATTTCACAAGCTTCCATCTCTCACTGCTGCTCTTGCTCTCCATCTGTTTCCAGGTGGGAGGTGCCATGGTCAGAGGAAAGATGTGCGAAAAAATAATTTGAAGGCATTCCTCAGCTTCGGCGCCCTCATCTTTTGTACCTGACTTATGCAAGATGCAGCTATTGTGAGAGAAAAAGCGTTTAGCGGAGAAGGACAACTGCAGAACGAGGCAGAGCAGCAGGAAGAGGAGGACATTTGACAGATAAAAAGAGGGAGCTCTGCAGCAGGATCCCCACCGTGCCTGAGCACAGGACTGCGTGACTGGTCTGTGCAAGCAGAGGGAGAGAGGGAGGAGAGAGGAGAGAAGGGAGGAAGGTAGGAGAGAAAGAAGGGGGAGGGGAGGCAATTCAGCGCAGTGCAAGCTGACTGGATGAGTAGCAGCCGCGGCACAGGCAGCAGCATCAGCACCACTAGCCGTAGCATCTTTCTTTGTGGCTGCTGGAGGCTGTCTTGTGGCTGCTGTAGCATCAACATCATCCCCACACACATAAATATCTGGACACAAGCGCTCCAACAGCTTCCTTCATACACACACATGTCGTGGTGGCCACCGAGGAAGAGGTAGTAAGTGACGGGGCTCGGGGGACAGAGGGACACAGGAAGAGGAAACAGGGACGACCGGTGGTAGTGCGAGCCAGAAAAGGGCTGGAGCGACGGCGACTAGAGCAGCAGCAGCAGCAGTAGCAGCGGCACCATGGCACAAGCCGCTAAGCAGCTCCGTAAGACCAAGGACCTCGCAGAGGCCGCCGCCCAGGAGCAGCGGGAGAAGGAGGAGGAAAAGATAAAAAAGAGGAATCGATCCAGGGACCGCAGGCGCAAGGTATGGCTGGCTGTCTCAGGAGACAGGGGAGGTGACGGTGTTTCTTACATCCATCTTTTCCCCCTCTACCTGCCTTTCTCTGTCTCTGTAAGATTCTCTCTGTCACTGCATTTATTGTGCAAGGCTGGTGAGGATGCAATTACACATGTATAATTACACAGTTGGTCTTGTGGCCTCAGCTGGTGTGTGCGTGTGTGCAGGCTAACCAATCAAGCACATATGCTCTGGTGCACGTTGTGTTTGCTCGGGCAGATATTAAGCTGTGGGGGAAGGAAAAGGAGGCTGTAAATGATGATAGTGTGCCGTTAGAGGTGTGACCGGTGTAGGCTGTTGGTTAAATAACAGGTTAAGTCTTTCCTCTCACAAGCATTTGGGGGGATTTCAGCCTTGCATGGGTGCAGCTCATTCATATTAATGCAATGCAAGTTCAGTGTGCTGCACTTACATGTATTTTCTGCACATAATCCTGTCACCATTAAAACGCACTGCATGCTTCACTCTTTCCCACGTAGCTGTGCTGCTCTTAGATTTGGTGTCTTCCCCCATATTACAGGTTTTTTTTTTTCATTGGGGAAGATGTAAAATGGAGGGGGAAGATGGAGGTACACTCTAATAATAGATGCAAATTTAACCCATCTGTATATGTTCTTTTGGGGAGCATGTGTGTGCTACACGTATTGTTCAATCAAGCTAATTATATAATGTTTGCTGCCAGTAATATTTGTTCCATGGAGACTTAATATTTTAATGTGTTGTCAGCAACTAGGCACGCAGAATCTCATCCTGTAGACATGGGATTTCTCATTCACCCCTACGTCTCACTTCTCCCCTGCTCTCTCCCACACCGGCTGTGCCTTTAGGTGTAGATTTTATTGGGGTTGTGCTGCCTTGCACTCATTCTCGGCGGCACTGGAATAATGCATATTCTATTGTAAAAGGTACTTGTTGAATGGATTAAAAAAAACTTGAATGAATTTGATCCCTGAGTGGAATTAGCAACATTATGCCACATACAGAGGTTCAGTGTTCAATGCTTTCTGTTTCTTCTGCAATATATCTGTGTGCACATATTGATGTGGAGTTGGTGGCAAGAGGAAAGACAGGTCTTTGTTATATTCACTCTATGAGATGTGTGTATGAAACATAGAGAATTAGCATTTGACCGAAAGACAGAAACATAGAGAAAAAGAGCTTGTCCAAAAAATGGCTTCTGCAGAGAGAGCTTAGGTGCTCATGAAGTGTAAGCCATTTTATGTATTTAATATTCTACCAACATAAAACACATTGTTTGTCCCGACCGCAGAGCTGTGTGGTTTGCTGATGGTTTCCAAGGCCATACATTAGGCTTTTAGCTGTGTGTTTTACTGGTGTATCTTTCACTGAAGATCCTGGCAACTGTAGTGATGAAAATGTGGTGATGTAGTGAGGTGTTACATTTTCTACAGCAACATGGAATCAGTTGTGTTAGCTGTGTATTGTCAGCAAAATTGGCCCTCTTTAATATCCACTTAGGCACTATCCATAGACAGGCTTGACTGAAAATGTGTTCCTCTAGGTAAAATCATTCAATCTGAATTGATTTTCAATGAAGAACAACATGCAGAATGTGAATTGGATTGCGTTGGACATAGCATGAATTGGTCTCGTCACTTCCTGTTTGTTGTGTAACTAAGAGTTTGGTGTTGGCAACTTATATAAGGATAACTTAATTTTGAGTTGTAAATGTGATTAGGCAGCAAAAACAAGTTTGCTAAGTTATGTAAGCGCTTGGAATTACTACAGGTGTGAACACTGAAGAAACTGAGCTGAGAACTGATGGAGATAAAACAGTAGACATTTATTCTGTCTCAGCCAGACAATGAACTCCAGGATACACGCGACTATGCGAGATTTAAATTTAAGATGTATAATACCTAACTTTTCTGCATTACAATAGAAACCACTAGAAAAGTGTTGTATATTTTGTTGAGTTGTGTACTTACATTCTCCCAAATGTTTCCAACAATGTTTAAATCCAGAGAAATTTTGATTTTAACCAGGGACATGGTCCATTTCATTTGATCGCGATAACCTGTCAGTGGTGTCACATCCACTTTGCACATGCCATAGGGTTGTGGTTGTCTACCAGAAGCTACAATACACTGACTTTTATCCAGTTTAAGCCAAATTTTTTACAATACACTCTTTAGATCTTGCACGTTTGTAAGTATATATTTAAAACGTATGAAGGGTTTTAGTCATTGAACGTCTGGATCTTTAGTTATCACAGAAACAAGCTGAGCAAATGTTAGCAGCAGCTTGGCTTCAGCCCATTTCTCCAAACAGTGTCAGAGAAACACTTCTTTTTACCATGAAACTGCTTTATTCAGTGTTTTTACCAATTTAAATGTCAGGTCTGTTTATTTTTGGAGAGGAGGAGACTTCTGCGGATAATTCGGCTCCCTGTAAAAACCTCCTGAACAAATGAACACAGAGGAACTCGTAACAGGAAGAAATTGACTCCAATGATGGCTTTGCTCTGTCTTTTGATTGAGAGGCAGTTACAGCTTGGTAAGACAGTCCTGATGCTGTGAGCTCAACATTCTGTTTTCCTGTATGGATCACTCTGCCCCAGACACTTTGAGCAGGTGGGTACACAGCATAACAAAACACCAGGGAACATCTTCTTCTTCATCAGTCAATTGATAAATCAAGCTTTTACCAAATTCAGTTGGAAGAATCCCTGATTGGCCCCGATTGGATTTTAATGTCTGGAAAGTGTTTGATACAGAGAAAGAAGCAGGATGTTGAGCTCATGTCATCAGGATAGTCTTACCAGGCTAAGGCGGTTAGACAGTAATCATGTGAAAATTGTGAATGTTGACATTACCTCTTAACAAGGCTTGAAAAGATGGCTTGGGTACACTAAATTTACCATCACTTTATTAGATTGGGGCTTCACAAAAGATACCATTTTTTGGTTGTGCAGCAAGAAGATTTTCTGAGTGGATAAGGTGCCAAGTAGTGGATATGTTGCTATACAGTTTCAATTTGTTAATTTCTGGTTGTTTAAGGCCATTGTGGGCAGTGAGCAAGACTGCTTGATGCAATATTGGATATTTGGATCAGTGTCTGGCAAGTATTTCATTTACCAGAGTAGCCAAAACAGGCATTTTTATTTCTGATTGGTTTTATCAAGGTACTTCCTCTTTAAAACCCTTTAACACTTGCTAATGATAAAATGATTCACAGTATGAATAACTAAACTTAAACTGATGACATGATACAGCTATCTGGACGTTTTGTCATTGTTAGTGATCAAAGTCAAAAATGAAGTCACTGCAAGCCAAATAAAATCAAGAGTATGAATGCTGTTTTAACCTTAAGTAGATATAATTTGATTTGGGAAAGCCAGATTCAGTGCTTGCTTCACATTATTGCACTTAGCTAGCATCTACTTATATTCATGCTGTTAGTGTTTGCTTCTCATGTGTATTTTGCTGTTCAAAAATCAATGTTTAAAAGTTTAGTAATGCTCATTTAATTTATAACAAGTCTTTGTCTCATTTGGCTCAAGAGTTCTTTTGGCTTCACTGTTGCAAAACCCAAGCACAATTACTCAGTACATAAAAACACAGGTTTGTCTTGTGGGCTGTGAGGCCATGTCAGCAACCTAAATGAATTTGCTCCTGCTCCTAAATAAGGGGATGAAAAGTAATGCAGAACATCAGTGTTATAATATTGTTGTCTGCAGGATTTCACAGCTTAAGGCACATTTGATGCAGCAATAAGGAAGAGTTTGCTGCAAAAATAAACCCATCTCTGCTTCACTGCTTCTGTCTGAGTGGCCTTTCTCCCTCACTCTCACCTCAATCATCCACCATGCCACTTTGTGTCTCTGTTCTCTGTGTATCTCTCCCTGAATCTGTCTTTCTTCCTTCACTTGATTGTTGCTATGCACCTAAAAGGAGAGAGGAAGCAAGTCAAAGAGACAGAGAGGGAAAGAGGAGGCACGGGCAGGTCTTAATGTTCTGGGGATGTTAATTAGGTCCATTCGATGTAAATCAAACTCGGCAGCATGGCATCTCTCTTCCCTGCTCCTCCCCTTGCACAAAGGTCATCCACTACAGTGCCAACAGAGATCCTATCGTAACTCTGGATGGACTGGACAGTAATGTAGTTAGAGAATCTGCAAAGAAAGTGCAGAGGCATTCTGCTTGCTCGGCTGGTTAAGGTGCATGCCAACGACCTTTGTCATTTACTTCTGCCTCTCCTATCTTTCCTGTCTTTCTTTACTTATATCTAACAAATGTAAAAAACAAAATCTTTGAGAGAAGAATAAGAGCAGAAATGTCGCAGAGGCAAACTAAATTATATAACTAAATGTTATATCTTTTGCATCGAGGTGAGTGGTGCCATGCTGTGTAAGGGAACCACTGTGATCAGAGCTGATTGGAAATAACAAGATAACAGTAAATATGCTTGTATCTATTTTTTGGTGTATCTACTTATTAGTTTCTTCTCAGTCCAAATGAGAACTTTATTTGTTATCATCAAAGGCATAAAAGCAGCAGACGGTTTGAAATACAGCTAAATATAATGAATTGTGTTATATATGGAATAAACTGGAGTCCAATGCTTGGCTGCATTGACTGTATGTATTCTTGTCTTACTGGCTGTCACAACCACTGTGGATCACTTTCTGATTATACTGCGGCCACTGAGTCATCATTGATTATTGGCATGTTTACTAGTCACTAGTCACAACAGACCAATGACTGTCATTGATTTATGCTTCTACGAATTAGTGATGTCCTGATCATGTTTTATTGGCCCTGAACCCGATCTGAGTCCTTCAACAATGGGTATCTGCTAATATCAAGTCCAGTCTGTTAGTTATATTTACCTAAATGGTGATTAAAATATGTATCTGACACATTGAAATAACAGCTGTCGACTACTAATGCACACCTTATTTTTCACAAGCTTTTTCAGCAAAATACTGGAGGTCCTGGTTCAAA